AGGAAAGCGGTGTAGGCGACGGCTGCAGCAGCAGCCCTTGGCCTCAAGGAACAATGTGAGACGTTGCTTGAAATGTTAATTTCCGTTCCTCATTTCATCATCCCCTGGCAAGGCGGTAGCTGTGAGTGTGAGTGCGGGTGTGTGTGCGCGCGCGCGCGCTTGTGTACGTGTGTGCAGGGTTGGCCTTGCCACATGGATCCAGTCCTCTCAGACGGATGTGCGGTTCAGTTCTTATGTATGTGGCTTAGTGTGGAGTCTAATTTTTTTTCTTGAGGCCTTATCTTGACTTGGTGCTCCAGTAGGCTTTTCTTTTTTGTTGTGTTTCTGGGAAGCTAGTCTAGCATAACTACTTACAGGGGTTTTGGAAGTCTTGTGAAGGTTAAGCTGATCCTCAGTAAGACTCTATGCTCTGAAATCTCCTGGTTATATGTGTCTAGTGTTTCATAGTAGTTACTGCTGTCATAGAAGTTTTACATCCACTTGAGAGAACTTTACAAATTTTCCGATAGAAAAAACAGGTTTTGTGCCTATTCGGTAAGTTTTCTGTGGTCCTTTGGACACCATCAAGTAAACTGAATAAAGTACACAGTTGTTGAACGTAAAAACTTACTTGGGTTGTTGGGGATGAAGAGACTTAAAAACTTAGGTTATTGGGGATGAAGAGACTTATTCAGCAAAACGTAGGTGATAGGAGTTGTGGAAAAATGTATCGAAATAGTTACTGTGTTGTGTGTGTGAGATCCCAGTTTGTGGTATAACTTGGGTAGTCTCAAAGAATGTTACTTGTTGCCCGGAGACCTTTCTCTTCTTGAACATTGGCTGCCCTGAAGACCTAGAGTTCTGTTTATGTCTTTTGAAATGATTGCACAAAAACTCTGATGTCACTTTGCAGCTATACTTAAACGGAAAAATGCCTTGCTTAACTTTGATTGTGACCCTTGAATTGGATCTCCATATAGCCAATGTTTCCTCCCCCACACTCCATTCAGCTGTTGTTCTCCTGTCTGTAGTCTCACGCTTAAAAGCAGGACCTCATGTGATAGGCTGGCCATCCTGAATGGAATGGGATGGGAGGGAACAAAGGCCAAGTTGCTATGACATTTTTCTCTTCTTTGTGCTTGCCTCTTGCATTCCTTGAAAAGCAACCTAAAAGATAGTGCTAAATTTGACCTCAGCTTGATTCTTTCAGGAGTGTTTATTTTTATTTTCCTCTCTTTTTTTCCCTGTGGTAAACAGTGTACAACACAATTTATCAGACGTTCTCTAAAGTGTCACCTAGTTTTGAATTCCTCATTTACAGTTGTAACTTTCTACCAGCCTTCTAACTTGTATTTTTCTGTTAGATGCTTTTCTCTAGACTAGCCTTGTTAATCATGCTGCACTATCAGAGCCTTTCATCTCACTAAACCAGATGGGCTACTGATGACTAGTGGCTGTCATGTTAGCTATAATTACAGTGTTGATTCAGTGACAAGAAGAATTTCCTACAAATAGAGTTAAAAAAACTATGCTGTTTGTATTTAAGAATATTTTTCTAGAACCTTTGTGTGTGTGCCTTGGATACCTAAGTGAGTTTGACATAGTAAAATTATGTTCATCAAATATAAGAGGAGGGGTATTTTTGCATATTGGCAGTGAGCCCATCATCAATTAAATAACATAATTAGAAAGCATCAGTAAATGCTGGTTCAGAGAATAATCTGCATTTGTTGCCAAAATAAGTGTTTTGATCTGTCCATTACCCCATGTAAGTCGCTTCATCCCTCAAATGGTAAGTGTAATGGATGAGCTTCTCTTAATAGCAAGATATTTGCTAGTTAATAGGTGAAAATGATGATGCATTGCATGTCTGACCACATGCTGTGACAGTTTATTACTGCTGTTTAGGCAGTACTCTGAGACTGAACATGGCCCTTGTGGTAACTTTAAACAAAAATCGAATGAACTCAAATAACTAGGAGTTATTGTCTTGAAATGTTTTCAGTATGTGTTCTCATTTGAATTTCAAATGGAATTTCTGTCCAATTCAGCTTTCTCAGTTTTGTCTTAAAGCTATATGAAAGAGGGTGTCAGTCATCAGCTCCGGAACTCAGGCAGTTGGATAATTGGCATGGAAAGCCTTTTTAGGCTTAGGAAATGATCTGCTTTAATGACTACTTCATTAATTCCTATAGATATTTTTATTCTTAAGTGGCTTGTTTGTTTGATGGATATTTGTGGTATCTCTTAAACTAGAATTCAGCTTTGTATTTAAATAGCTGTTTTTGTTATTCTGTATTTTTAAAATATCATTTAATTATCCTATTCAATTTTCCTTGTAGTTAATCCCCCTCACCCCCCAGGGTTTCTCTGTGTAGCTTTGGAGCCTCTCCTGGTACTCGCTCTGGAGACCAGGCGGGCCTCGAACTCACAGAGATCCACCTGCCTCTGCCTCCCGAGTGCTGGGATTAAAGGCGTCCTTGTCGTTAATTTTTAAACCAATTTTTTTTTGACAGTTTCAAGTAGTCCATGCTATCCTTGAACTCCTTATGTAGCAGAAGATAACCTTGGAATTCTGAGTCTCCTCTTACTGCCACCCAGTGCTAGGATAGTACAGGCATGTGCTACCACCCAGGGCTTCTTGAATACTAGGCATAGCTACATATCTGGCCCCTCAAACAGAGACAGACAGAAACAGAGACAGACACAGAGAATTTTATTTAACTCTTAAATTTATTACATATATATATATATATTTAATGCTATTGGTGTTTTTGCCTTCATGTATGTCTGTGTGAGGGTGTCAGATCCCCTGGAACTGGAGTTACAAACAGCTGTGAGCTGCCATGTAGGTGCTGGGAATTGAACCAGGGTCCTCTGGAAGAGCTGTCAGTGCTCTTAACCACTGAGCCACCTCTCCAGCCTCCATGTGTCTATTTTTAATATGATAGAAGTTGGGTCTGTGCTTGCTGCCAAGTCTGATGACCAGACTTTTATACCCAGATTCTACATGGTAGAGAGAACTGATTCCCACAAGTTGTACTTTGACTTTTGCATGCATCCAATGGCACAGGCTCACAAAAAACAAACAAACAAAAAACAAAACAAAACAACCCAAACCCCAAATCAAACCCAAAACAGCAACAACTAAGAAGATACAACCTAACTTTGATTCTATGACGAGCTTCTGCTGAGATTCTTGGTCCAGTCACTCTTTAAAGAATGAGTACCAGGTGGTGGTGGCTCATGCTTTTAATCACCAGGACTCAGGAGGCAGAGGCAGGGGCATCTCTGAGTTCGAGGCCAGCCTGTTCTACAAAGCTACACAAAAAAACCCTGTCTGGAAAACAACAACAAAAAGAATGAGTACCATGGCCTTTTGATTTCTAGATTGGATCTCATACTTTATAATTGGGCTTTGACATACTGCTTGTCTGCTGAGTGTCCTCCTGGCTTCTCATACTCTTTCCTCCTCTTTTGGGTTCAGTATTACTTCCTCTTAACACAATTATTTCCTTTCCCCTCCCTCCCTTTTTTTTCTATTTTTTTTTTTTTAAGACAAGGTCTCATGTATATCCATATTAGCCCTAACTGTGTGGTTGAGAATGACCTTGAATTTCTGATCTTCCTCCACCTAGAGCACTAGAGTAACTGGCATACACTGTTATACCCTGTTTATTCCTTGCTGGAGATTCAGCTCAGGGCTGCTTGCAAGCTATGGAAACACTTTCCTGATTGGACTATATTCCTAAATCCTCCCACTCTAGGCCCCACTCTCACCCCCCAAGGGTTTCTCTGTGTAGCTCTGGCTGTTGTCCTGGAACTCACAGAGATTTACCTGCCTCCCAAGTGCTGGGATTAAAGGTGTATGCCACCATCGCTCAGTGTCCCCTTTTTCAGACAGGGTCTTTTCTTTTCTTTTCTTTTCTTTTCTTTTCTTTTCTTTTCTTTTCTTTTCTTTTCTTT